GCTTCGCCTCTGTGTTGAAGCAGTATTTCATATTAGTTTTCAAGCAATTTTTGAGCTTTTCAAATGACTTTCTCAGGTTTTTCAAAAATTTCAGGCTTTTCTAAGTTAACTTTTTTGAGTAACTTTATGTATGTGATTTATATTTAGCTCAAAGACTAGTTTCTTCTCGAAAATAATTTTCATGCATGTTTCATTTCCCGATTTTTGAAAAAGAGTCATTTAAAACCTAAATAACGCTTTCAAAAATCTTTTAATGGGACAATATCAACTTTTTGCCCCTTTAGTTTGCTTTACTTTTCGGTAAAAAATAATAAATTGAATGTAAAGAACTGATGTTTAGGAAAACAAATAAATTATCATTGTAGAATTGGCGATTCTACTATAATACATGCTATAGTAATTTGAGCGTAAGATTGATTCGTCATTAACAACATCTTCAAAGATATCGTCACTCCTATACCAGAAAAAAAATTGACAAAATTGACGAACCCCCCCCCCCCCAAACGGAATATTATTATGCAATTCAGAGGAGCGATTTTAAGGGTAATTTGACCCAGGCATAAGAAATACGAGACCCCTCAGACCCTTGGGGGGCAATTGATAACGTTCCCCGGAAGTGTTAATGGCCCTATCGGAACTCGGAAACCAGCGCCGGCATTGGGCTCAATTTTTAAAATGTTTGCAGGCCTAGTTCAGGAAAGCTTAAGTTTGGAATTCCAGAACCCTATGAACGCCACTTCTGGTTTTATGCCCTAAGAAAACAAACCAATCACTAAGTTCCGGAAGTCGTTTCTCGGCCTCCAATGAACGCAGGGAGTTCAAGTTTGGAGGGATGATAGGTAGTGGCAAGATACATCTTCTGTTATAATTTGAACCATTTCCAGCGGTTGGATCGGAAGCTATTAGCACTTAGACCGGAAATAGGTAATTTACGTAAAATGATGAACGGTGGCATATTAGTTTTCTTGCACCAATAGACATAAAGTACAAACCCCGAAAAAAGACCTCTTGTGAGTGAAACCCCTCCGGTGACTCCTTCCGGCGTTAACAGCCTTTTTCCTTAGAATTGAGATAACCTGTGAAGCATTATGGGGATATGGACGGAACTTGGTAGTTAGGTCCCACATGTGGCTCTAAAACCAAATATGGAAGTTTGAAACCGGGTGACCCTGGGTGACCTTAAGTTGACCTTTGCGCGTTATGGTCAAAAAATTTGCATAGAAAATCCCGAGATTAACACCGGATAGTGGAGTATTTTCCAGCCCAACCCCTAGAAAGGAGAATGGGTCACCTTGCTAAAAATTGGGAGGAAACTCGTATATTGGGAACTAGAGCAGAAGCTGATAGCAATATAGCTTTTGCATTGCAACCTTGGAGTAGTAGAGTTAATTCAAAGTGGACTTGATGAAAATTGGGTTTAGTTTAGCGTGGAAACTGATTTAATCATAGCGATTCAAGTAGACTAAAAAAAGTAGTCCCAGAGGAAATTGATAGTAATCTGACCGCAGCATGAGAAATAAGACTCCTGAATAGTATGAACGGACGGGGAATTTGGCTACCTGGAGGTGAATTTTTGGTTGAATTTGACCCCTAATAGACAAACCAGGTTCTTATGACGGCTAGATGGTCAAATTTGGAGTATAGTTCAGATAGAACTTTCTGAAATGAATTATCTACCCATGAAAAAGACCTCTCCCCATCCTTGGGAGGTCGGTACGTAAACGGGATAAATAAGTTAAAGACCTTGGGAGGGTCACTGAGTCAACATAGCATGGTTTGGAGGTTGAGTTGAACTCGAGGGCTGAAGTCACGGAGGCCAGGAATTAGTTGATTAGAATCGTATGACATTTGTTTGCTTCGTCACATTGTGACAATTACTACAAACCGGGTATCTAATTAGCGTGTACAGATTGGTAAAAGAAACCGAACTTGTCACGTGGCAGAGCTGACAAGGGTTGAAACCTAGTCATAAAATAAGTGCGGACGGCTGATTTAAGCGGTTGCCTGGACTGATAGAGAATGGCGTGACTTAACTAAAACTAAGTGTAAATAAAGATAAGGAACAAGAGGGTACAGGAAAGCCTTTAAGAGTCAGAACAGTTGTTAGCTACTATTAAGAGTAGTTGGTTCTCACACAGAGCAATTGATAATGAGATAGATTTTAGTTGGTTCTCAGCTATTTAGAGAGAACAATTGTAGCAGAAACAGTAGATAGTTGGTTCACAGCAGAGTGAGAAAACTGATTCTTGAAGCTAACGAGATCATTTAAAGTACCTCAACGGAATAGTGATCCGAAGAGACACTATTAATTTCAGCAGGCCAAACTGAGTGTGTATGTGGATTTATTGTGTGTTGATTAGATAGATCTATCTACGGAGAGAATCGTTTAGTGGAGTCAATTGGAAGTCAAATTGTAATTAGACAATTGTGCTGATATATCGCGGACCCTTTTCTTTTGATTTGTTTATTATATTATAACCTGGCCACTCACAGCCTTCTGTAGTTGGAAATGTATTCATGTGAATTGAATTACAATTGGAAATTTTTGCGATGGTATTGAGTAGACGAGACAGCCTGAAGTGCAGTACACAAGAAAGGTACAAGCAACATAATACAATATAGACTAGTTGCCACCAACTTAACTCTTTCGGGATTGTAGATAGTACTGAATATCGAATCCCCGCTGAATTCCCTACCCAAGGAACTACTTTGCTACTTTGCGGTGTCGCTAAGAGAGAGAGAGAGAGAGAGAGAGAGAGAGAGAGAACGAACCAAGAGAAGCAATCCCCTAAATCTACACTTATTTGTATTCTCACTTTCTGTGGATTTTTTTTTTCATTTTTGGGAATTAGTTTGAAATCTAGTCAGTTTGATGTTTGGCTTTTTTCAAAAGTTTATTATTTTGCATCATTCGATTCATATTGCCATATTTAATTCTATAGATCTAGATTTTCAGGGAACTCATCAATTTTTTGCAATTAAATGACTCTCAATGAATTACAATGGCAGGCAAGTAAATTGGCGAAGATAGCAAGAAAACGCCCATTTTAGTTGATGCCACTTGTTAAACAATTCAGAATTCCACCAGTTCGGAGATAAGTTTACTGAGCAATCAATCAACTCAGCAATTGTCAAAGATTTCTCTCGTTCCTCCCTGCCCCAAAACAAAAACAGTGTTCACACATAATTGCCAGCAATTCAGAACGAATTGCAGATTTACCAAAAACAATCAATTTTTGACACTGTTAAAATCATTTTCAGTTTCGGCACTATTTAACGCACCTGTCAATCAGTTGAGCGTCAGTTGGATTAATTGGTCTGCTAAAAACTGGGCCCTTTTATTCATGTGCTTTTAACTGCACATTATCTAAAGGGGCGTGAAAACATTTTTGTTTCACAAGAAAAAGTCATTTGAGTTTGATCAGTATTGTTTTGGTGTAATTGCTAAACATGCTAAGATATTATAGCTTTAATGAGCCGTTTTGTAACCAAATCGATTTTAATCAACTTCAGACTGTAAGTATCATTTCAATTGATTTTTGCTCAAAATTAGCTTATTTAAGCCAATAGTTTGCCGAGTCAACTTGGTTAAATAGCATTTAAAGTATCTAAATATTTGCATGAAAATCAGCAGCTACTTCAAAAATTCGGTGAGTGAAGTTTATCAGTATACTATTGGTTAAATTTAAGCGCCATTTCAGGTTTTTTACTTTCTAAAAAGCCTGTTTTTAAAGTCCAGTTTGGACAACAAAATCAAATTAGCATCCTCCGTCCCCCCTCCACCACCCCCCCCCCCCCCAATAGACCAAGTTAATATCCTCCACCCCCAGCGCTTAATATAAATTAAATTTGCTAAGCGCTGCATGTAAAATGCTCGATTCTGATTGGCTGAAAAATACCAACTTAGAACCAAGTTAACATCCTCCGGTAAACGGCTTTGAGGGGAGGATGTAAACTTGATCCGGACAACGTTTACTTCAAATTTCAGCAAAATAAATTTGTTCGTAGACCGAGACCATATCATCGGAGCTTCCATTAATGAAAGTATCATATTAGAGTAGGCATTTTTTGAATAAGCAGAGTAAAAAAATTGATCATGAGATGTGAAACATTTCAAACAAAATAATTGCGTTGTTCATTGTGACAACTTTCCTCAATTTTGCTTTTTCCGATTATTTCACATTGTGTGAAAAACTTATAACAAATGGTGAAAACTGGCATTTTCAGATCTGGAATAATCAAGTAATTGCTTCAAATTAAAAACTGAGACTTTCAAGGAGAGTAGTTCAAATTATTTGTAGGCGGTCTACTTAAAAAAAATGGTTCAAAGTTGTTTCTCCCCGCTTATTCGAAAAAAATTACTAGTGAATTTATAGTTTCATAGATGCTGCCGCGCTTATTTCTGCCCGCTTATTCGAAAAAATTAAAACAAAAGATAAAATTAGGCCTTTTTGAGACCCAAAATAAACTGGTTAGTGCTTTGAATTAAACATTGAGACTTTTGTAGCGGGTAGCTTAGATCATTTGCAATCAGTCGATAAAAAATTTTTGTTAGAAGTTTATGTTAACGTTCTTTGGAATTTGTCATATTAGAGAATAAATAAGTAATTTTTCGTTTTTTGTGCACTTGTATATTACTCAGCATTCTGAGCTGTTTGTACGAATTTGTATCTCGTATCATCAAAACAAATCAATTTTATTGAAAGTTGGTTTCTGTTCTGAAGTGCGTTGAATTTTCTGTCTGTTTTACGACCTTTCACTCAATTGGAACCTACTAACGGGTGCGACACAGTTTAAAATACCGTAGGAAAAAGGCCAATAATAACTAAAACTTGGAGTTATTGAAAAATTATGTGATTAATTCCACAAAGGGAGTTTTTACTTCTTAAAAAAAATGTTCTTCATATGGAAAAAATGTTTTGAATAATTTTGCTTCTTCGAAAATTTTACACCAGTTAGTACTTTTGAATCAGTTCAGCAAAACCAAAATCAATCTTGGGATTTAATAAGTTTTTTTAAATTCTTTTTTCGTTTGGAAAAACTTTTGATCCCTCACATTTTACTTAAATATGATATTTGATTTCGACTTTTTCATTAATTTTTATCATTCAAATTTTCATTAAAAATCATTTTCAATAAAATTGTCCTTGGATATGATAATGACGCTACAAACGAAGGCTTTTGTTCCAAAAAAGTTAAGGAAATGGCCGATGCAATAGAAGTTAATAAGATAAAAAGATAATAAAACTTAAAATTGTTGTCTGAAGTAGACACTAGTCGACAAAACAAATGCAAGCTTAAAGTTTTAATCTTTAAAACGCCTAATTTTGAGGACCCTTTTGACACCAATAACATTTTTTTAAAGAAAAAATTTACATCAATTGCGTGTAAAGGATCTCAGCTACCCTCTAAGAAAACACCAAATTTTGCTTTCAAATTTTTGTCTGTTTTTTTTCTGAATGTGGAAATTTGTGATAAATATTGCCCAAAATTGTCCTTGAGTATAGACACATTTTAAATAGTAAAATCCTAAATTTGCGTTTCATTTCGTCCACTAGTGTACATGAAATATGAAGAAAACTGTGCGATGCACTTCTTTAAAATATTTTGAGCTAAATTTAAAAAAATTATAGTATAGTTTTACTGTTTGCTTGTTACTCGCATCAGAAAAACTTCAAATTGCAAAAATTTTAAAAAGTCTGCAAAAAAAATTAATTTTTTCAACAAACAAAGCAAACATTCATCTGAAAACCTTTGTTTGCAAAGCGAGTTATTTAAATAATTGCAAATTTCTCTTCTAATGCTTGCAAGCTATTGTTCCGACTACTCTCGAAGAATGGAAAATAATTATGTGTTAGAGTCGAGTTTTTCTAGTTTTTTGCGCCATTGTAAAAAAAACTAGTCCGAATGATTTTGATTTTCAGACTGAAATAAACAAAATTTGCTCAAAGGTTGATCTGCCACTTTCAGTCCTGTTGCAATTTAAATGCTATATTATAACGTTTTCCTTGTACAACTTCCGCTTTTTTCCTTTTCTTACGTAGTTCAATCGCGGTTACTGAAAAAAAAACAGGAAATTTGGGCAAAAAAATAGCACAAATTAAATAGTTTTAATTTGGAAAACATTTTTTAATTTTGGATATTTTCTAATTGATTTTGGTTTGAACATTGTGCTTCTTGCACAACAATTGGCTGAGCTAATGGTCAACTGTGGTATCACATTACAATCGTGTTGGTCGTGATTTAAACTCTAACAGCAGCCATTAAAAACTTTTCTCAGAGTCAAGAAAAACGGATCTAAATATTTTCGGTTTTCAGACTCATTTAGACAAACCTTGATGAGCTTGACAATTTTGCCGGTGCCCAAACTTAGCTGCAGTTTTAATTCAGCTAGTTTTACATCTTTTTTCATTTTTACATAATTTTTCTTTTTTCCTTTTATTCTTTTTATTTTTTCACCCTTTATCAAATACATTTACAGTAAAATTTGAAAAAATGATCTCTATATTGGAAACAAAAAAAATCAATGATTCAATTCGGTTTTTAAGATAGGCTGAGCTAATGGTCAACTACACCAACCGGCTATTTTGTTCGACAATCTAACATTAGTTGAAGATGCAAGCATTCTTTCGCGCATGAAAATTTGTTGCTTTGAGACTATTTTCTACTACTATACAGTTGATACTATTTTTTTTTGCAAAATTTCAAACTGAGCAAAACTTGCTTACAATGATGTTCTCAGTATACTCAGTTTTTGAAAATATTTAATTTTTTTAAAGTATTTAACTAGTGAAAAATAGGTTTCCGACTTCAAAATCAGAAAAACATATGACAATTAACTCTTTTCAGTAAAACTATGAAACGGAAATGGTTGGTCAAAACACTCATCTTATCAGATTTTGGTGGGATGCCTGTTCATCAATTTTTTCAAACTTTTTCTTTCTTTGTTTTTTTTATAGATTTTTGCAAAATTGTTGGACAACAGTCTTCAGTTTTTTAAGTAATGAGTGTAGTGAGTACTCTTATTTAGGTCTTGCTAAATTTTTTAGTTTTTTTTTAGAAAAAAAATTTTAAAAATTGTTTGCGCTCAGTTTCGATTTTTAGCGGATTGACTTTATTTTTTTCTTAACTTCAGTGTATTTCTATTGTTAAAAGAAAGGCAAACTCCACTATTGAACAACAAAAATATAAAAGTCACGAAAAACGTGATTGACTTCTGATTTCGAGAATGAAAATTAATTATCAGATTTCCCAGCGAAATAAAAGTTTTACGTTTTGATTCAGTTTCATCAAATTGGGTTGAATTTAACAAAAAAAGTGCCCAGCATAAATTTTTCTGCAAACTCAAAGAACTTTAAGGCCATCTACTTTTTTTCTCGGAAATTCAAAAGTTGAAGGCTCTTGATAAAACAAGTCCGTTTTTTTTCCAGTTTTTGTGCGTTCCTTACTCTCTTCTAACTGTTAGCTGGTTATGTTCGAAATAGTTCTGACTTTCAACATGAAATTACTGTGAATAATCTCTTTAAAATTTCGTGTTTGATTTTTGGCGTTTTGTAATTTGTTTTCTCTGGAAATTGAAAGCCAAATCATTGCTAAAAAAATTTATATCAATTTTCATGTTTTGATGAATGTGTCGGCGGAACAGTATAGCAAAGGTTTTGTGGCATTTCAAAAAAAATTTCTGAAAATTTGGATGCAGTTTCAACGCCTTCTCAATGGCGCAAGGTCAGTTATATCAGATATTTAAAAATTTGTTCAACAAATTTGCTTTAAGCTATACAGAATTGCAAAAAAATTGAACAAATTTTTTTAAAAAGGGCAAATGTTATAATTCAGTTAATTTTCCATGCAAAAAGCTATTTTGAGATAAAATGTAGATCTCGTCATTACCTCAAAACCCAAATGTCTTAAACTTTCTGTAAAATTTCTTTAAAAACTCCTTAAAACTGATCGATTGCTCTTTTCAATCAATTTTAACTGTTCTTTTTTGCATTTTCCTCAATAAAAAATTTTATCCGACAAAAATTGAATAAAATTTTTAGTTCAATTTGACCACTGTACTATAAAGTTGAGAAAAAACGAGTTTTTATTAGAAGCAGTAAAGCAATTGCGCTTTTTCAGGCGCTGGCTTCGAATGAGTTTCTGATTCAAAGAAGTTCTGCCGCGCAACTTTTTCAGAGGAAAATATAACATACTTTAGGTTATGATATAGATATAGCTTCTAATTTACATCTCACGAATTAAAGAGATACCAAGTAAATGTTCCGAACATTGAAAATAGGTCGTTATTTGTCTCTTTGGTTCGAAATTTTTGAGTTTTAGTGTCTTTTTAAGCAAAAAATCGAGCAATTACGTCCGCAGGCGCTCGGAGTTATACTAACAGTTTTGATTTAATTGGTATATAAAAATAATTTTACGAGGTTAATTTATGCTTACCTGCCAATAAAAATTTCAAAAATTCAAAAAATGAACTCAACTGATGTCGACTATGACCAAACCATTATTTTTCATGGCATATGGATAGTTTTTTATTGCACCACCCTAAAACGACACTAATTTGAAAAAAAGAACGAAAAAAAACTATTTTGTAGTTTTTTCTAAAGAACTGTGGCCGCAACAATCTGTGCTTCGTGAACATCAATCGGCTATCTTATTCTTTTTTAAAAAAGTACTTGTCAATTTTAAGCTTATCTTGCTACCATGTTTGACCTAACGGCTAGCACTAACTCTATCTTGAAAAACAGCGTGGGTATATAAAAAAGCAATGAAAATCCAGATTTTACTATAGAACAGTCAGCAAAGTTAGTTAAAAAACGAAACAAAGAACAAAAACAGATTAGGCCGCACCAAAAAAAAAAAACAAACGGCAGTGAAGATGATCAAATCATTTAAAATTTGGAAACTAATCGCAGAAAAACGATAACCACCCTGAGCAGTAATTTTCCTGTTTCAAGGTTTACTATTCGACGCTTCGGATGCAATTGCCCGCCGTGGTTATAATTTTCGAGCAAAACTCTGCTCTATGAACTTTCGACGTTATGTTTATTTCAGTTTTAATTTCGGTTGATGTCTAGACAGTTGCTCTTTTTAATTAAGTCTGTCTGTCCGAACTTTTTGCAACTCTCTATACTCTTCGTGTAAAAAGAGCTCCAAATTGGCAGAACTATTTCTTTCAATGAAATCGATGGCAATATCCTTTTCGGTCAACAAATCTGAACTAAACTGCAGAATTCGATTAAATTGCACAAGGTCACCAAAATTGCCAACAATTTTGCTTTAAATGTGTTTTGGATCAGTTTTGCATCCAAAAACTAATTGATCAGACCGAGTTTGTGGCTCAAGGTTGTCGGAAAAAAAAAAACAAAATTGTATGCAAAAATTAGTCGAAGTGGGACAATTGATCTTTTTAAATAACTCTGTTTGAATTTTTTGCATTTTTATATTTACGTTGCTGAACATTTTTAGTTCAATTGAGACACATTTTCTCTCTCAAGGTTTTCTAAAACACGAAATTGCATGCAAGGTTCTCTCAAAAGTGAAAAATTGGTCTTTAAATAGTTAATAATGCCAAATTGTTGGCAAAATCGGTGACCTTGAACAGTTTGATTGGTCAAACAATATAGCAATTTAAGTTAATTAGTTTTTTTTGACATAATTTTTAATGTTGAAATCAATGAATAACAGAAATCTGACTTCAAAATGAGCAATTTATGGTCAATTATAGAGAGTTGCAAAAAGTTCGGACAGACAGAATTAATTAAAAAGAGCAATCGTACCATTTTGACAGATTTTTGCATGCAATTTCTTTTTTCATACAACCTTGAGACACAAAATCGGACAGAAAAATTAGATTTTGCATGCAAAATATTTCCAAAATAGGTCAATTGCTTTTTTTAATTAATTTTTTCCTGTCCGAACTTTTTGCTACTAATTATAACTTCGTTTAGATTCGTTGACTGAAAAAATGTTGCAAACAGTTTGGAATTATAATTAGTAGCAAAAAGTTCGGACAGACAGAATTAATTAAAATGAGCAATCAGTGCTTTTCGACGCTTTTTTGCATGCAAAATCTGAAGCCGGACAACCTTGAACTTTTTGTCAGACCAAATTCGAAAAGCAAGATCGTCGATTATCCGATGATTATGCTAGCCTAATTTTTAAATACTGCGATCAACATCCAGATTTACTAAAAAAATAGTTAGCGAAATTAGTTTAAAAATCAAAATCTAGAGTTATTTTGAACAAAAAAAAAACAGATTAGGGCGCTCCAAAAAACGGAAATAAGAAGATGATCGAATCATTCAAAATTTAGAAAAACTTTAGCCACTTTTGCAATAATTTTCCTGTTTCAAGGCATACTATTCGCCGCTTCTGAAACAGTTGCCCGCCGTGGTTATAAGTTTTGAGTGATACTCTGCTTTATAAACTTTCGACGTTATGTATATTTCAGTTTTTGTTTCCGCTGATGTCTAGGCAGTTGCTCTTTTTAATTAATTTTGTCTGTCCGAACTTTTTGCAACTCTCTATATCTTCAATTTCTTTCTCCGACCAGAATTTTTGAAACTTTAGTATCAATTAGTTGCAAAAAAGTCGGCCAGACAAAATTGTTTTTAAGAACAGCAGAATTTAGAAAAAATTGCTCGCAAATGAAGAGCCTTGTAAGTAGTAGCAAAAAGATGGAACAGACAGAAATAATTTTAAAAAGCAATCTGTTAATTTGCAGCATTTTTTGCAAGCAAATCTGAATGTTTAGGTGACCTTAACTCATACTTTGTCTTTATTAACTTTTCTGATAAAAGCTGCTTGCTCTTCTTAATTAATTCTGTCTGCTCCAGTTTTTGCAACTCTCTATAGGCAACCTTGAGAAGTGTGGCTGAAAAATTGTTTTTGTTTGGTACAGTTTCTCTGAATAAGCTCATCTGCTCTGTATAATAAATCTGTTTTTATCGAAACTTCTGCTGTAATAATTCGTAATTCTAAACAAGCGTTCTCTAGGTTATTTGTGATATATTTTAAATTCTTCAACTTTGATGGGTATGTTTCATTGTTTTGGTTTCTGATAGCTTAAAATTATTGCAGCTTAACTAAAACGATATTATTCGGAAACTTATTTTGGTATAAATAGATTTTAATGACCTGGATTTTAGGGAAGAGAAGTTTTTTATCACTGCCGTACTTATCTTATTTTCCATATTTGTTGAGCTGTCACATGAGAGGCTTGTTATGATACTTAAACATGGCACTAAAAATCAATTATCAGGTACAATTTTATGGAACAACCATAGATTTTCTCCAAAGCATAATCAGTGTGAGTTGGATTTATCACTAACTTCAACTGGTATGTTCTTGTGATATTCAATTTTGAAGATCTTGTAATCGTGACTCGAGTGGTATTTGAAAATTCGTTACGAGGCCATACTTTACATGATACGCTCACAATTTGGTGACTGTAAGTCACTGGAACCCAGAGGCAAGTCTTTAAACATGTTCCAAAATGCAAGTGGATTCAAATAACAAAAGTTTCCGGGTAGTCCGTGCATAAATACTTGTAACGTAAAATTTGCCAGCTGATAAGTTCTGTCGTAGATTCCGCAACGAAAGATAATAGCTGATTCACAATATCGCAAATGAAATCGGATTCGGCGAATAGAAATGGATTACGGATTCCGATTACATCGCTTTTTCCAGTTACAGTTTGCGGATTTTGCTATCATTGGCGTAATTTAATTAAACATAATATAATTATGTGTTTGTGGATTCGACAATATGTTCCGGACTCCGCAAACTTTGGGGGCAAATTCAGTTTTTTAACGAGGGAATTGGAGCGATACCGTCTTTTAGGGTATGTTCGTGCCATTCAAAACCGTCCAAAACGTCCAGGAAAGAAAGCAATGTATTGGATTCATCGACAAATATGTTATCAATCTGTTGCCGAATCCACTTACATTTCATAAAATGCAGTTTGGCCTAATGTATCTGAGAATTATTTTGTTGGCAAGAAAAATCGGTTCAGATTTTCGTTTTGTAGAGAAAAAGCACTAAAATTTACTCATTGGCAAAATCAGGGGCGGATTTAGGGGGGGGGGGGGGGGGGGAGGGGCGGGGTCTGGGCGGCGGACGCCTTGTTCCCTCAGGGATTCGACCCCCTGCCGACCCAAAGGGTCCTCCCTTTGATACTTTTTAAGAAATCCATTTTTGGCCGACCGACCCTAAATTTTTTTTAAAGGTGCCTTTGGCGCCAATATATTCTAAGTTTGAGGGGGAGCGCGCGCCAAAAAAAACGCGATTTTTTTGTCAAAATTTTTCAAGTTTCTAAAAAAGGCTTTTTTAGACTGTTTTTTCATTTTCAAAAATTTGCCTGCGGCGCTGAAAATTTACACCAAAATAGGGGGGAAAAAAGTGCTTTGGGAGAGCTCGAAAAATCAATTTGGTCGACCTAAAAAAAAGGTCAAAATTTTCGAAAAATTTTTGAAAATCCGCCCCCCCCCCCCCTCGTAAAAGTCCTAGATCCGCCCCTGGACAAAATTGTTTTCTGTTTGCTCCTGGAGTGATCAACTTACAAGTAAAAAAGTAAGCTAAGAATGAACATTTTGACTTTTTAGTTGTTCGTTCACGGAGCTGAGCTTATGGCCAAAACCAGTCCCCCTTATCTTCCTTCTCACACAATTAAAACGCAATTTTTTAAAGCAAAATAATCTTTTACGCAATCGGATGCGTCAAATAAACGTCAATTGATTTCGAATGATATAATTTTCAAAAACGCTAGAGCGAGATTTGATGATAAAATTCAAAATGATATCTGAGTGCGCGTAACATTGGTTTGAAATTTGTTTTTTTTTTTACCAGGTAAATAATTTAGAAGCAACATATCAGTTTTTTTCTTCATGTTTGGTTCTTTAAAGCTAAAAAAAATTGATTAAGTTTTTATTGTTCGTTGAGAAAACCCTTCATTCCTTCCGGTGTACACATTTCTTCACGCAAAACCATTTGTGAAAATTAATTTTATTTTTAAACACATTAGAATTTGGAGTGCCATAAATCAGTTGACGTATTAAACAACCCATATGTGCAGAGCATACAGACCAATCAAAGTTATGTCACAAAATTACGTCATAATTTGCCAAAAATATGCCAAAAAATACGTCAGAAGACTGGGTTTTGCGTGAATTTTGTAAATTTAACGCCAAAGTTTCTTAAATATTATTGTTCCGACTTTCGAAGACAGTGACGGATTATTTGTAGTCGGTGTGTTATTTTCTAGACAAACTTTTCATTTTTCAACAAGCGATTGTTCAATCTAAAAGGTATTGTTGTTGTTTGCTCAAATTTAAAATGATACCTGTGATCCTTTTCCGTAGAGTTATGAGAGTTAAGTTTTGCCAATTTTACCACTTTGGGATAATAATCGCTCAATAGTTCGTGCTATTAACACGTAATCAGAGCCTTAACAACGTCTTAGAAATTGTTCGAAATTGAGGTGAGGCATGGTTTTTGCCCTATTTTAATTTTTGCTATGTACGAAACATCATTTTTTTCTACATAACATAGTGTGGGGTAATGGTTTTTAAAAAATCTTGAAAAAAAAAATGTTTGTTTTGGAAAATTTTATTCAATTTTTAAAGCAAGTATTATTGCATCGACCATAAAGTGGAGTAAAAAAAATAAGGGCTTTTCAATTGTTTTTTGATAATTTTGATGGACTAAAAAGCAAAATTTGATACGTTTTTGGAGTAAGATGTTGAGCCCGAAATTCGCCAAATAAATTACCTTATATTTAATCTCGTTTATGCGTTTTGTCTGAAGAATTAAAATCAGCACTATAGGTTGTCTTCAATTTACTTTTTTTTGTTATCTGAAACGAATTAAAAACGAAACTTAACAAGGAAAATCAAGCAAAAATGGTTTTTAAATTTTGTCTTTAAAAATAACTCTGTGCTATTTTTCTAGCAGCGGGGGGAGCGGTGGTCGGACGTTCTTTACCTCAGGGATTCGACCCCCTTCCGACCCAAAGGGTCCCCCTTTGCACTATTTTGAGAAATCTATTTTTGGCTGACTGACCTTAAAATTTGTCTAAAGGTGCGTTCGGCGCTAATCTATACAAATTTTGAGGGGGAGCGCGCGCCGAAAAAACACGATTTTTTGGTCGAAATTTCCCAAAAAGTGTCTAAAGCCTTTTTTTAGGCCTCATTTCGAAAATTCGCCTTCGGCGCAGAAAATTTGGTCAAATAAGGGTCTTTATAATGATTTGGGAGAGCTCAGAAAATAACAATTTGGTCGACCGAAAGTTTTTTTTTTGAAAATTCGCCCCCCCCTCCCCTCGAGAAATTCCTAGATCCGCGCCTGTTTACAGCAGCTAAATAAACAGCTGTTGCATGAAGAGCTAGTTTCTGATAATATGTTTTGTGCATTTGGATTGGGCGCAAATTTGTTAGTTTTGGTTTGCTCAAGAATTGCCTCAGGAAATTGAAGTAGATCCATGTTTTGTTCTGTATGAATTTGACCTTAATCCTAGTTTTGATTTCGTGTAAGCCTTGCAAAAGTTGAGCTCATTTCCTTACCAGATAGATATCAAAATCTTACGGCCCTCAAACAGTGATTATTGTCTTTTTTGTGCCCTCGCAGAAAATACATCAATCACTGTTTGAGAAGAAGAGGGGGTCTATAATTTGCTGGGGCTATGATGGGAAAGGAAAATGTTTCATGGCGTCTCTTCTGTCATACTTTGACTACGAAATTTTGTATAAAGTGACTGTCCCTCAAAGCTAAACCAGTCCACAGCGATCCTTCTCTCTGGTGGTCCGGTCAATCTGACGAGAAAAACTCAGAGAGTTGGGCTGTCTCTCATTACGCCATTAGCTGTATAATAACCCGTAGTTAAAAAGCTTAAAATAGCAGTTTAGAATTGTAGAAAGTCATAGCTAGTAGCACTAGTAGTACTTTAGCCAAAAGTCCGCTGCACGGTAGAATTATCAAACTTTTATTCTGCAAATTGGTAAGGACTTAATTTATTTACTGCTTGCTCACTTCAGTTCATTTTAGAACGAAGTATTTTAGAACTCACGTGTCGAGAGGTGAATAAGTTTCGAGATGCATTAGCTGTCGAAAAACACGATCAAAACACGCACATTTGAAAAAGTTTTTGCGCCAACACGTAGTTTTTACTAACTATTTCGTTTGGTTGATTGTTCAAACAAAGCACGGAAACATATTGCTTGACAGTGTTTTAAGACTTCAATAATCGCACGGAAGAAATCAAAAGTCAACTAAAACTGTTTTAGAAGCGAGAAAACCCATCATTGGTATGCATTTTTTGGGCCGCAAGTACACTCTGGGTTTGGCCGAAGTGAGAAGCGTGGATTTCTGGCGTGCAGTGTTTGGCGAGTTTGTTGCGACTTCCTTCTTTCTTCTGACATGTCTGATCGGTGTCTGGAGTCCCACGAATCTGGTTGCGGGATCCCTTGGAACTGGCCTCTGTATTGCACTCCTGGTTCACATGTTCGATAATATATCAGGGGGAAATATCAACCCTGCAGTAAGTACTAGAATCTAAATGAGCTAAAAGCGCAAAGAAATCTAATTGAGAAATTTAATTAATTTGAAGACATGGCGATGTCCTTTATTACAGAAAACCATAGTTTTTTGCAGATTGCGAGTCAATATCATTCTTGTTTTTTGCATAAGTTATCCTGTAAAGGGGGGGGAGTTTCCTTGGTATGTACATTTATCTTTTTGATCGCTTCTAATTGTTTTTGCATGTTCAATACCAAAATTTTTAAGTCATTTTGACAGTGGACTTCCGAAAGGTATGCATAAAATACTCTAGGTTTCCCTGGCGCTGGTGGTGAACGGACAGATATCTCTCATACGAGGAGGGATTTACATGGTGGTCCAGATACTGGGATCTATCGCGGGAGCGGGAGTAGTGAACCTGATAACGAAGAGTGCCCCCAGTGGAGTGAATGGAACTGACGTCTTGCATTTCGACAATTGCATTCCCCAGATGGCCGATGAGTATGAATGGCAAGGAATGCTCTATGAGTTCCTGTTCACCAGCATGCTTATCATGCAGGTAATCATTATTAATAGTATCTTTTATCATTACTTTTATTCATTTATCATCTTTTTTTCTTGACTTTATGTTAATTTCAACGGGGCCTCTATCTACGCTTCCGGTAGCCCTCAGATCCGTAATATATGCCTATGTTCCGGAAGCTTTCAGCTTAACATTTGGGAAAACTGAAGAATGGGTATGAAGCAGGGTATCGATGAATAGTTATTTTCCCCTTGCAACTCACTTCTATGAAATTTGACACCTTGACGCCCACAATATCCTCCCTCAATTTCATACTCAATATCCAAGTTTGATTATCGATGTTTCAAATCACTCTTATTTACATCTCACGTACCCCAATCGCATATCGGCAACATATAGTTTTTTATCTTTTTTTTTCAGTGCATCGAACAGCTAAATTTGAAGAAAAAAATCGAGGAAGTTTTGGTTATTTTGAAAAACCATGACCATATGTTGTTACGAAAACTTTTCAAAATCTCTTCTGGAAAGTTCGATTGGTGCAGACAGGTTGGAACGAGTATAAGTTGGCAAGCGAATTGAAAAGGCGAGGGCTGATACCTCGAACGAATCAGCGGAAGTATGGATCTGGTGTTGGGGAAGTAGGAATAGCCACTCGCCATATGTCTATAACTATTTGTTCTGTTCCAGGTCCTTCGCAGCACCGACTCAGTTCGACCGGTCCAGAACGGAAACATAGCACTAGCAGTGGGTCTTGTCGTTGTCATTGCTAACTTCTGTCTCATTCCCATCACCGGAGGGCCTGTTAATCCGGCTAGAGTCACTGGGCCCGCTGTGGCCGGCGGCAAAGTGGGCCAGTTGGGATATTACTGGCTTGGAGAGTGTGCTGCAGCTGTCATTACCCCTCTGGTATATTCACCTCTTCTAACCAGGATAAACACCATCGAATCACCTCATGATTACACTGTACAGCAGAAACCAGACATCATTTGAAAAAATGTACGAGAAGAAATAGTTTGATTTGGTTTTAGATGCTCATAGATCAATTCATGCTTACTGCTACAATATGATTGTAGCTATTGCTTAATCTAAAAATTTTGCCTAAATTTTGAATGAAACTAAGTTTGTTCAATCAAATTGAGTGCGATTAATACTTTCGCTATTTCAAACAATTTGCTTTCAGACTTTTGTACGTCCATTATCCAAGAAATTGACGATGTCCTTTCAATAAAGAGAATTTTTCCAGTGATGTTTTTGTTCAGTTTGTGCGGTAAACCCAAGATTGATTGGTGGAAAGCTACTTTTTGTGAGATGAACTATTATGCGGATTGCAACTTTTGATTGCAACATTAAGATTGTGCTTAATGCTTCAACTCATAGTTAGATCGGCAAAAACAGATCAAAATGAAAACAAAAAACAGAATAAAAACGCAACCACTGAGTGCGAAGTAAAGCATTGCGCACAAACTGAAAAGCAGTCTATTTTCTGTCGCAAAAAGATGAAGATATCTCTATTTATTTGGTTATTGAAATGCAAAATTACCAGGATAGAGTAACACTTACTCAAAAAAGTCCCAAAAACTTAATATGTTCTTTATGCTTTATTTGATATTCAAAGCAGAACATAACTTGCATGTTTATTAGCTGTCAAGCATAGTTAGAAAAAATTCACCATGTTCAGTAGCGAGCATTAACATGACCTTCACAGACCTTATTGTTCCGACTTTCGATACGAAAGTAACGGAATATTTGTGCTCGGGGTGGGTTTTTTTTTCTTCAGACAAATTTCGACTTTTTAACTAGCCATTTTTTACGATATTTTTAAATATCATTCGAAAGGTATTGTTGCCCTGAGCTCGAATTTGAAAAAATATTTCACCTGTGATCATTTTTCGTAAAGTTAACGGGGGTTTAAAGATTGCCATTTTGGCCAATTTGGGACAATTAACGCGCGATATATTTCGCGTTATTAACGCGTAAGCTGAGAGTTAATCCATCTTAGAAATCGTTCCAAATTGGTTAAAAGAAGCCTATTTGCCATAATTTGTTTGTTACAAGGAGCAAAATCTATCCTTTTGTACTTTATATGGCGTGTGGGGGGATGATTTTTATAAAAAAATTTCAAATTTTAGATTTTTTTTTTCATTTTGTTTTATTTCATTGAATTTTTAAATGTTATTACTGCTCCATAAACCTTAAAAGGCAGTCGGAACATTCAGGGCTTCGCCCTGATACGAGCAGTCTTGTATTTGATTTCTTAATTACTTGGGCAGTTGAACATAACACTCCAGTTATGAATACATCAGCTTCCAACAGAATCAGAAGGAGGTACCTTTGCATTTATGATGTTAACAAGATGTCTTGAGTCTTCAATCACACTTATATATCTGTTGTAATACCCCCTCCCCACGTATGAAATAACACCTCGCCCTATTTTTCAAGACATGCCAAGAGAGAGTGAAAACTCAAGAACTAAATTGGAACTGTTTTCAGAAAAACGCAAGTTGCCGAAATGTGACCATTTCAATTCAAAATGGCAATGAAACACTGAAAAGCGTACGTGGTATAAAGTTAGATATTAACGCATATAATTGATTAATAGACAGTTATTAGATTAATGTTGGTTAGTATACTTTCATTATGCTTTTCATTATGCATTTCATAGTATACTTTGCATTTCATTGTGCATTTCATAAACAACTCTTTGGGTTAGTTTCGTAATTGTTCCGACTTTCGATACGAAAGTAACGGAATATTTGTGCTCGGGGTGTGTTTTTTTTTTCTTCAGACAAATTTCGACTTTTTAACTAGCCATTTTTTTGACGGAATTTTTTTTTATCATTCAAAAAGTATTGTTGTCCTGAGCTTAAAATTGAAAAGATATTTCACCTGTGATCATTTTTCGTAAAGTTATGAGGGTTTAAAGATTGCCATTTTGGCTATTTTGACCAATTTGGGACAATTAACGCGCAATATAATTCGCGCTATTAACAAGTAAGCGAGATTTAATCCGTCTTATAAATCGTTCCAAATTGGTTGAACGAAGCTTATTTGCCATAATTCATTTGTTACAAGGAACGAAATCTATTCTTTTGTACTTTATATGGCGTGTGGGGGGATGATTTAAAAAAAATCAAATTTAGAAAACTAATTTTCATTTTATTTTATTTCATTTAATTTTTTTTATGTATTACTGCTGCTCAATAAACCTTAAAAGGCAGTCGGAACATTCAGAGCTTAGCCCTGATACGAGCAGTCTTTTTTAGAACTAAAACATCGACTGTGTTCGGAAAAAGGAAATAGTTGCTCAAATTTTCTATTCAAAACTGCTTGTATGACATCTTTTTCAGTTCTAGTCATAGTTTTCCTCTTTATCCGTTTAAAAAGTCAAAGAAAATATGCCAAAAACGCACTATTATTGAATAGCAAAAATTTTATTGGAATACATAAGGCTCAGTTAGATATGGAACCTCGATTAAAGGTAGATAATCTATTTCAATGTCATTGTTATTGTATGAAAATTACTCTGGTAATAGTTTTGATGAAAATTTTAACGGGTCTCTTTAAAATTCACTCAGCTATAGAACAACAATTGAAGTAAACTCTTTAAACCAGTGTCACGGTAAGTTGATATAAAGTTTCTCACAGTAGTTGACCAAAAAATAATGTAATCTAAATAAATTAAAGAAGCTTTTAGCATTGAGCTTTTTCCGATCGTTTTGATTGATTTGACCTTTCTCAGTTGTTTTAATTATGGAAGCTTAACGTGAGCTGAAGAACTGTGTGGTTTCTATTTCACGTTATACTTTTGCCCGAAAAAGTATTGTTGATTTAATTGAGCTTAAATTGATAATTTCATTGGAAGTAATTGTTAAGATAAAATTTTATGGAAGATTCTTTCAAGACATTTTGCCAGATAGCTCAGGCTATAAGACGTTGATTTTTGTGTTCTAATTGACCTCAGTTTTTTTTTGGCTGCGAGTTAAGTTTATGTGACCATATCTCAGACCAAAAGACAATTTTAGTTTGTAAAAACGTCGTCAAAAATGCTACGGTTTAGTTTTTTGATTATTTGTCCGGCAATTCAAATGTTGCAAGATTTAAATTTTGCGCGGGGTTCATCGTTGTTGCATCTTCGTTGCCGCCTACCTATATTTTTTTATATAGTTACTTTCTGGTGCTACTAATTTGTATAACTTTATTGTAGTTTTTACAGTGTTCTTTTGTCTTTTAGATGCCCAGAAGATGAGTTTTTTCATGCGATATGCTATGACATTTCTCATCTTTTCGTTTTTATGATTATCTACTGAAGATAATTTTTCCCGTTTGACCATTCAGCATCCTTCTATCGTCTTACAATACACAGGGCTTGTTTACTCAGTACAATCCCACTTATGAAAAGTCAGTTATTACTATTTCACGCATAAAAATTCTTAAAGATGGTCTCTCCAATAAGTTTATCCTTGGATTACTGCGCTTTGGTATTCCTCAGAACAGGTGTATTACAAACAACACTGTGAGAAAGTTTCAATTGAATTTATTGAAAGGTGAGCATCATAAAGCTGCTTCAAGACAAACAGAAGCCCTCAGAAGAATACTTTACTTAGCTACTTTACATGTTGTTACTCCGGTGTATTGATTCCACTTTTAAATTTTTTCAATGGGTTCGCGCTAACAGATTATAAACTGAGCATTCTATTCTTTCTGAGTTTTTTAGCAAGCAACCTAAATTTCATGTTGTTTTGAAGTTTAACAAGAATTCGTTTGTCGGCGCAATCAACAATCTCATGAACAAGCCAGCAGACAAGGATTGCAACTTTGATGTGATTAAAATGCTAGCTGCTGCTAGATTAAAATGCTAGTTTTACCCCAAAATGATAATAAATAGGGTTTTCCGAGTCCATATCGCAGTCGGAAGTGTCCCAGGCTAACATTAATTTAAATTCGTTTCTAGTTTATAATTCTGAGTGAAAACTTTAACCATAACTTAAATGGTTAATATCACCAAATGCAGTTTCTCTGCATGATATCTGCTTACACCCGGGGTTTTCTTATAATAGAAATCCTGGGATATTGTGGTTTTGGATAAAAACACAAAGTTTCGAAAAATTACATTTTTGGATTTTCCTTTAAGGAAAAAAGACCGGACAAACAATTGCATTGAGTACAGAAAAAATGCTTTTTGGTCAATTTCATAGCACAAAAAAGTTGCGTTTGCTATTTTCACGCAGCTTCCTGATAAAAAGTATGTCAAAACCAGGGGCGGATCTAGGATTTTCTCGAGGGGGGGGGGGGGAGGGCGGATTTTCAAAAGATTTTTTTTTAGATCGACCAAATTGATTTTTTGAGCTCTCCCAAAGCACGGTTTTGTCCCTATTTTGGCCAAATTTTTTGCGCCCCAGGCTAAATTTTGAAAAAACAGGCCAAACAAGGGGTTTTTAGGCACTTTTTGGAAAATTTTGACCAAAAAATTGCGTTTTTTCGGCGCGCGCTCCCCCCCTCAAAATTAGTTTATATTGGCGCCAAAGGCGCCTTTACAAAAATTTTGGGCTACATCACCAAAAATGGATATCTCAAAATAGTACAAAGGGGGGAATAGTAATACTAAAATACTTAAACTACTAAAAACCCAAAAACTTAATATATTCTTAATGCTTTATTTGATATTCAAAGCACAACATAACTTGAGCTAGTTTATTAGCTGTCAAGCATATTTAGAAAAAAATTCACCATGTTCAGTAGCGAGCATTAACATGACCTTTACAGATATTATTTAACGTGGGGGAAATTTTTCGTCAAGTTTTTCACTAAATGTTAGTCGAATTTATTGTTAAAATATAATAAATTAGATTAAGTTTGTCAAATTTTGACCGATCAGAATGCAGGAAATTTCTAAATATATACGAAAAGTTAGTGCTAATTTACTGCTTTTATTTATAGAGATGGCAATTCTTTAGATACCAAAAGGGGGCGACTGTAATATAAATCCAAAATTTTTTTATAACGGATTCATACTAATTTTTTTGCAGCAATTAAACTTTTTGCAGCAATGCAACAATGAAAAAAGTTGCAAAGCAACCGCCGGCTTTTCTTTTGATTTTCTAAATTGATTTCAGTTCAATTGTTAAATTTAAGTGTTTTTGTTGCTTGTTTGCATTATTTGCATTTCTTTTTGTCTTAAAAACACTCTCATTTTATAGGGGAAACTGGGCAGCGCCTATATGAAGGTTAAAAGGGTTTCACAA